ACATTGTCCCCGCGGCACGGCCGGCCACCCTCGCGCACAGCCGCTCGCACACGCCCCCTGCCCGGGCCGGCTGCGGGGCCCGCGGCGCCCCGGCAGCCGCCGGCCTGCCGCGCTCCTCCACGCCCCGCTCGGGCCCGGCCCTGGCGGCCCCGCCGGCGGCGGCTGCAAAACTTTCTCCTCATCGCGGCGGCGGCGGCGTCGCGGCCGCCCCGGGAGCGTCGGTCGGTCGGTCGGGAGGTCGGCGGGCGGGCGGGCGGGCGGCGGGTCCCTCCCTCAGCCCCACCCCGGGCCGCCGACCTGGTCCGGCTCCGATTCATAGTCGTCGTCCTCGGCGCTCACGGACATGGCCATGGCTCATGGTGGGCCCAGGCTCGCGCGCGCTGACATGGCTGGAGCGGCGCCGCCGCCGCCGCCGCCCGCCCGGAGCAGGCTCGGCTCGCCCTGGCTCGGGCTCGGGCTCGGGCTCGGGCTCGGGCGCCTGCTGCCGCGAGGAGGGAGCAGCGCCGCGCGCCTCGCACGCCCGCGCGGGAGGGGGCGGGGAGGGGCCGGCGGGGGGAGGGCCGGGGCGCTCATGCATATGCATGAAGCGAGCCAGGAAGGGGCTGGCCCCCCGGGCCGGCGGGCCAATGGCGCGGCCGCGGCGCTCGGGCCGCACACAAAGGGAGCCCGGCCTGCGGTGACATGGGGGCGGGCCCGCCGAGGGCGGCCCCTCCCGGCCGGGGCGCGGGGACTGGGACTGCGTGGGGGCGTGCCCCACGGCCCGCCCGGCCCGCGCGCCACGGGATGCACATGGGTGGCTGCACGCCGCCGCCGCTCTAACAGGAAATGCACGCCCGACCTGGGGTGGGGTCTTTTGTGTGGTCCTGCGGGGCGTCTCGCGGGGGCCCCGGGGCGCACAGGCCACGGGGGGCGGCCTGCACGCGACGCCAGGCAAGAGTCCCTGTGCACCCGGCAGCGGGCACACGGGCTCCCGGGTTTGCACAGGCTCTGGGACCAGGACCTGATGCCCGCGAACCCGGGAGTCCCGTACCCGGAGCTTGCAGGCCCGCTGGCCTGGCTAAGGTCCGGGGGCCCAGTTCCCCCGGAAGCGGGCAGGTGGGCTGGGCAGGTCCCCTGACGCTGCCCTCCCTCCCTCAGGTTTGCCTTAGCAGATCGAGAGGGAGTCAGCGTGAAACGTGCGGTGGTGCTGGTGCGAGTTCCCATAGAGCTGCCTGACTTGGAGGTTACCTGGGAGAATGCACTCTGCCCCGAGGTGGGTGCCCCACCCTCTTGGACAGGAACCCTCCTTCCGGTGGTGCCCTGGAGGGGATGTGCGCTGGAGGCGATCTCAGAAGGGGTAGAGAGCTACAGGCCTGAACCCAGTTCTCCTAGGAGACTGGCAGCGCCCCGAGGCTGGCCCAGAAGGTGTGGGTTTCTAAATTCTTTAAACTGTAAAGGTTCCTCTTAATGCTTAATCCAAAAGCAGCCCACTCCTGCAGAAAACTGTTACTGGAAATCCAGACTGAGATTCATTATTAAAAAAAAAAAAGTCTGTGGGGACGTATGCCCACAGCCCTTATTCTGAAGGAGGAGCTCTGACCATTAGCTAGAGTGATCAATACAACCATCAAAACCACAGCTAAACACAAAGACAAGGAGTGGGATGCCTTAGCTGGGCAACGGGCACACGTATCATCTAACTAGGAATGTTCAATATGACACTAAACATGCATACCTGTACCTGCTCGGTTTCTTCATCATTTTACAGATGAAGATAAAATGGGAAGGTTTGCCCAACTGAAAGATGAGCATCCTTCTGCAAAGAGATCAAAGGCTTTCCCAAGAAAAAGCTCATTAGCTGTGAAATCTGGTGATCAACTCTGCAGAGCTGTCCAACCGTTATTCATGCCCAGGCCACTGGCCATGAAATCCACTGTGAGAACAGAAGGGACCCACAGGCAGGTCATGGCCTGGGCTTTCAAGGAAGGCAGAATGTGTGTGGCAGAGACCTTGTAAATACAATTCAGGAGGCTTCTAGCAGGGAGTCGGCAGGAGTGAGGAAACAGGGATGTCAGTTTTACTGAGTGGATTCTGAAGTCTGTATGAAACTTATACACCCACTGACACTATGGGAAGAAATCCCAGGAGACTTGCTCTTTACTGAAACATATCCATTCTGAGTTTCCTTCCTCTCTTCTTATGGTTTTCACAATCCACTCAAGGTTAACAAAAACACAAAGCAAAAGAATATCCCCCTCCTCCGCCTCACTTCATCCGCAAAGATCTCAGCTTTTAAAAGCTATCGTGATGGACCAAAGTCTGTATCTGATGACCTCTTAGGAGCCATTCTACCCGGTAGGAAGCCCCTTAAAATAAAGGGGAGGGGCTGATAAAATGCTAATCATGCTTTCACTTCATTGTCATTCAATGTGGTCAGAACTGCAAAGGTACAAAGATACCCAAATACCATGATACATCAAGAGAGAGAGGTAAGGAAGTGGGACTTTTTTCTTGAAGGTCTCTGCCATTGCTTATCAGGAGTGCAAGACTACTAGACTTGTCTTTGAGCCGATTTCTTTTCAATGTTCCAAAGCTCTTTTCTGTATTTAAGGAAGTAAAAAGGCACGGTTCTCATTTATCATGGTGCAAAGAAAGAGAAAGGGAAAATGTTGATAAACAGAAGCTGTAGCTAACACAAACTTCCTTCTACCATGTCATTTCTGAACTAGAAGGGGCCTCAACCAGACCCCCTCACTTCACAAGTGAGGAAATGGTGGTGCAGTGAAAATTAGGAAGTAGCTCTCAAGCCCAGGGTCCCTTATATAATAACACCACCCAGAAACGACGCCCCACCACCACCTTTCAGGGGTCCGGGCCGTAATAGCAGTTAATATTTACTAACCATGGTTGAAGGGCTAGAGTCAGTGCTGAGCGTTTTGTAGACATTATCTCATTTACCCCTTTAAGCAGTCCCATCAGGTATGTACCACTGTGCACCCATTTTATAGAAGAGGAAACTGAGGCATATTGCTGCTCGGAAATGAAAGGACCTGGATCTGAACCCACAGGCAGCTGGAGCCTGCAGCCTGGAGCTGGGGCTGTTAATCACACCACTCCAATGCCTCGTGCCAGAGACAAAAGAGGATGCCAAATGAGACTGATGTAAGAATCCAAGTGAAAAACTCAGACTTAATGTAAAATTAAATTAACTGTCCCTTATTAAATTTTGCAAATTCTGTATTCTCGGTTCAAATTCAATTTCAAGGCAGATAGGTATGGTTTTGGTAACCTTTGGTAACCAAACTGCTGTCTGATCATCTGTCAGGGGCCAACGCTGGAAGTAGGAAACCAGGATTAAGACATGATAATGCAGTGGGTTCTCTCCAAACATTAAGAAGGCTCCTGCCAGCCACTATCCTAACACCTCTTAAAAATTCCTCTTCTGACACTTGCAAAGAACTTCTTACTCCTCTGCTTCCCTCGATCAAGTTTCCTTTAGTTAACTGGCACACACAATTATCCAACATTTGTTTTGTATTAATAGCATGCTGGACTTTATATAAAATACATTATGCTAGCCCTGGCCCAGTAGGATTGCCATCTGAAAATTTAGTGTTACATTGTGCTTTAGGCTTGTCCTTTCTCCCTCTTGACCTCATCTTTGAGTGACCCTAAGAACTGAACACTCTCCCGGCTCCACTTAGCCAAGGCTTATGTTCTTAGAAAGAGCTTCCCAAAGCTGATGCCACCGGGCAGTTGGTGCTTGCCCTGAGCCAGGAAGATCCAGAACTTTCACCAAGTGGTCAGGAAATAAACAAAAACAGATGGGAGCCGAATCAGCCCTGGTCACAGTGGGCACCCACTTCCCCATTTTCTCTCCAAGTGTCATTTAATTTTCTGGTCTGCCTATCAGATCATGAGACACCAGAAACAACCCCAGTTTGCCGAGAGATTGTGCCCAGAAATAGCCACGCTATCGCCAGTGCAGGCACAGGTGGTGAGCTTACGTTAAAGGAGGGAAGCCATCCTCTCCATCCCCATTTCCGGGGACAAGGGACAAGCTGCCCCCCGGACTCTGGACTTCCCTAGGACAAGGGTCTCTCCTGCATGTGGCCCCTTTCCTTGGGCCCACGTTGAAAAGGCTAAAGCTTGGGAACGTTATTCCCCAAAGGATCAGGGCAGGGAAAGAGAATGGATTCTCTGTGTCCACACCAGTAACTGGCTGGCATTCCCCTAAGCCAGTGGACCCCATTTGTAAACATGCCCCTAAGGAGGGAGCAGAAATGACAGAACAGGCACGCAAAGGGGAGCTTCCTAGTGCAAGTAATAATTTATACTTAACAAGCAACAGAGAATGCATGCTTCAGTTATTTTACTATATTTTGCCATTTGTCTCTCTGTCTTTCAATAGGGTTTTTCCCCCTTAATGGTGAAAGGAGGTCTCTTGGAGAGTTATTTTTCTAATAAAATGTAAATAAGAAGAATTTTTATATTCTGTCACATAGCAACTTAGGACTGATTCCAGGGTTGTCTAGATTATGGTTCAAAGAGTATCTGTATGACAGACCAAGGGCTGCAGTGATTTCTGTTGAGGAAATTACTAATGTTATTTAATTGCTTTCTATTTTGCCCCTGGAGAGTCATTCCACAAGCATTTAAAAACCACGCATATTTGTCATATGGGTCCTTTAAACAGACTGAGCTTTCTGTTAAATGGGGTTCCTCTCCTAATAATGTCTCTTTACGTTACCAAAATCAACCAACAAATATTTACATTCACTGGAAGATTTTTGTGACGGGGAACAGGATTTTTTTTTTTTTTTTTAAAGATTAACTAATTTAACAGGTGACCGGCATTGATCTGAGAAATGTTTTCCCGCCATCCACCCCATTTCCAGTTCATTCGCTGACCTTAGGAAGTTACTTCCCTTCTCTACTCATTGCCCTACAAAAATCCAGGCTAAGCCTGAGCACTCAATTTGGATGAAATAAATGAGTTCACTTTATAAACCCCTCTCCCTTGGGGCTCCGGTGGGAGTAAGAGGGGCTAAAAATACATAAAATGCTAGCATAATTCTGGCCTACAACCAAGACTTCTATAACTTAAAAGTATTTTTCTTAACAAGACCAAATCTCCACCCCCCCCCGCCTTGATTTCCTTCCCAACCAGACACCCATCCCATTATCTGTCTCACTATCCTCCAGAGAAGCACCTCAGAAAATCAGGATAAAAAGTTCTGTGTTTTCAAAGGAAAAGACTAAATCCAAAGATCACTCAAGGCAGGATGATAAAGTAGACAGACAAGAGGCAAAACCGGAGTAAAACTGTGTTCATCATTGACTAGCAGCTCTGTTCCTGGCAGCCAAACTGTGGAAACAACCCAAATTCCATCCACCGATGAATGGGTGAACAAAATGCGGCAGATCCATACAATCCATACAATGGCACACATACATGTTTTTCATCCGCCACCACTTAAGAGTGATCTTAATTTCCTATTCCTGAAAGGTAACCTGGTTAGGAAATGTAGGTCCTAAACCCTGCGGTGTGTTGAAACTCACCAAACCAGAGAGTTGAATCACCTCTTAAATGAGCTAACAGGCATGGCGGTGTTCTGATGGGCTCTGATGCCTTTCGTTTAGGGAAGCCTGAGAAATGCAAATGCACAGTGGCTGGTGGGGCTGAGAGTAGGGATGGGGGAACTCTCTCTCTCTCTCTCTCTCTCTCTCTCTCTCTCACACACACACACACACACACACACACACACACTTTGACTTAGAGCCATAGGCCTCTCTTCCTTTACCATTCTTGCTTTCCTTGAAAAATGGCTCATCTCCAGCAGGCCAATTTGCCTGGAAATGCCCCCTGGATCTATGAAAATCCATGAGTTTATCATGGCATTCAGTGTAGAAAAAGCCTGACAAACTCATCTGTCACCATTTGAGGTGGCCATGACACCAACTTCTTACTTTGAAAATCAGTCTTTAAAAGGGAAAGAATTGAGCATGCATACTGTCTTTTCAGGAGGAACTGTGTTTAAGGGTAGCTGCAACTGATGAGGGAAAACCCTGCCCCCCCAATCCAACTCAGTGATGTAAGCCAATTATTTCTCAATAATACCGGGGTGGGGGAGGGGAATGCTAGCTAATTCACAAGGGAGGGATGATAGACTTTGAAGTTTTATTTTCATCTCCTGATAAAATTATCGATACAGGAAAGAATGATCATCTGGTACTGAAACCATCGGTGAATGATGGAGAGAAGCAGGGGGCCAGTGTTTCCCCTTCCAGATTATTCTCTGGAGGAAAGAAGGACAAACCTAACTGAATAATGGGGTATCAGATCACTATCACCTTAATCCACAACCTATGATACTGAACTTTAACCAAGCCTTCAGATCTACTTTCCAGTTTACAGAAATTACAAGAGATAGGGGGAAAGTCACATGAGACAAGGAAGCAATCAGACAAATGCATATAGTGGGATATTCTGCAGGACACATGGTTCTGTCTTCTCTACAAATCAATGTCCTGAGAAAGGTCTGGATCGAAAGAGAATTGAAAACAGATTCAATGTACGGTCCTGGATGGGAGCCTGGTCTGGATAAAGCATCTGCAAAGGATAATTTGGGAAATGTCAATATGACCGGGCATTAGGTGGCATTAAGGAATTGTAAATTTTGGTACATGTAATCACATGATTTTAGCTGTGTAGAAAAATATTAGTCTTTTAAAGAGATGCAAACTAAGTATTAAGTATGTAGGGGCAGAATGTCATGATGCCCATAACTTTCTAAAGAATACTTCACCATAAAAAAATAAAGTGAGTTCAAAAGAAGTAACACCCACCACTTCACACCCATTAGGATGGCTGTTATCAAAACCAGAAAGTCACAAGTGTCCTCAAGGATGTGGAGACACTGGAGACCTTGTGCACTCTTGGTGAGCATATAAAATGATGCAGCCACTATGGAAAATGGTACGGCAGTTCCTCAAAAAATGAAACGTACAATTACCGTATGATCCAGCAATTCCAGTTCTGGGTGTACATCTCAAAGAATTGAAAGTAAGGACTCAAAAAGATGTGTATACACCCATGTTCACAGCAGCATTATTCACAGTAGCTGAAGGTGGGAACAACCCAATGTCCACGGGTGGATGAATAAATAAACACAGTGTGGTCTATCCAGACACTGGAATACTGTTAGGCTTGAAAGGGGGACTCTGACACCTGCTACAACCTGGATGAACCTCGAGGACATTATGCTTAGTGAAATAAGCCAGTCACAAAAGGGCTAACGTATATCATTCCACTAACATGAGGTACCCAGAATTCATAGAAACAGTAAGTAGAAAGGGAGTTGCCAGGGGCTGAGGGAGGAGGAACGGGGACTTAGTGTTCAAGGGGTCTAGAGTTTTACTTGCAGATGACCAAAAAAAAAGCTCCGGCAATGGACGAGAATGATGGTTACCCAAGCCCACGAATGTACTTAATGCCACTGAGCTGTACACCCAAGAAAAGGTTCAAACGGTCAATTTTATGTTATATATTTTTCCTACAATGAAAAAAAATATGATAAAAATCAAAGAAAAAGAAATAAAGAACACCCTCCCCCAGAAGAACAGATCAATCAATAGGGAACACTCAAACCCACAAGCCTCTCGGTGGTACCATCCCATCCTATAAACATTAACCAAGACAGAAATGAATCTAAATGATCTCAACTCCCTTCAAAGTGTTTTGCTGTTTCGTTATTTACATGCATTGGTGGAGAAGGTCAGTGGTTTAGAGCAGGTTTTACTATAGCTTTCACTTCTCACCTACCTTCCTCATATATAATTAAAGTTCCCCTCATCCCAACACATGCACTTGCCCTTGTCACCTTTAGAACAAGAAGCCAAGCTAAACAATGCAAATATTTCACCTGTATTCACCTACTCGTGCCCTGGTTTTCTCTGGATCGCCTGAATTTGGAGAACACATTACCTGATAACATCATCATTTGGTAGCACACACATCCGTCCTTCTAACAAAGCCAAATTATAGACTGGGGGGGTCGTGGGGGGTTGAATTAAAGGACACGACAACGTATTCCCTATGTCAATGATCAAATATCCTTCTTTAAAAATGGGAAATACACGACGACATTCGACAAAAAGAAAAGTCGGAAGGATAGGCCATTGTTCCAGAAATAAAACCATGATAACG